AATGAAGAAAGCGTGCAACTGCCACACAGCCTAAGTGATGGGAAATAATAGTATAAAGACTACTAACATCACAAGTAACTAAATAATATTGTTCTTTCCACTGGATCTTGGATAATTCCCTAATAAGCTGGGTAGAGTCCTTAAGGTATGTAGGTTTGGACACCACCAAGGGTTGAAGGAGTTTATGAATATACTGTGATAAGCAGCTCGTAAGGGAATCTTGTGATGTTAGTAGTCTTTATTAGGCTGTGAGGCAGTTGCACACTTTCTTCATGTATATAATTGTTGCTCAACATAAAGATGACCTAGGCTATAAGAATATTGCCAAAACTCTGAAACTGAACTGCAGCACGGTGGGGAAAACCATACAGCAGTTTCACAGGACTGGTTCCACTCAGAACAGGCTTCGCCATGGTCGACCAAAGAGTGCACGTGCTCAGCGTCATATCCAGAGGTTGTCTTTGGGAAATAGACATATGAGTTTTGCCAGCATTGCTGCAGGGGTTGAAGGGGTGGGTGGGTTAGTCTGTCAGTGCTCAGACAATATGTCGCACACGTCATCAGAAGGAAGCCTCTTCTAAAGATGATGCACAAGAAAGCACGCAAACAGTTTGCTGAAGACAAGCAGACTAAGGACATGGGTTACTGGAACCATGTCCTGTGGTCCGATGAGACCAAGATAACCTTATTTAGTTCAGATGGTGTCAAGCGTGTGTGGCGGCAACCAGGTGAGGAGTACAAAGACAGGTGTGTCTTGCCTACAGTCAAGCATGGTGGTGGGAGTGTCATGGTCTGGGCCTGCATGAGTGCTTCCAGCACTGGGAAGCTACAATTCATTGAGGGAACCATGAATGCCAATATGTACTGTGACATACTGAAGCAGAGCATGACCCCCTCTCTTCGGAGACTGGGCCGCAGGGCAGTATGCCAATATTATAATGACCTCAAACACACCTCCAAGATGACTATTGCGTGCTGAAGAAGCTAATGGTAAAGGTAATGGACTGGCCAAGCATGTCTGCAGACCTAAACCCTATTGAGCATCTGTGGGGCATCCTCAAATGGAAGGTGGGGGAGCACTAGATCTCTAACATGAACCAGCTCGGATAGACATCTTTTTCTTCTCCTTTCCAAGGGAAAGCATAAGAAGTTGTAAAAGGTGAAGAGAAAGAAGTCTAATAAAAGTGATAGCCAATAATGTATCTCTACCACTTTTTTACCACTGGTGTTGTATATTATTGGGGTATTATTTATCATTTTAAAAATTCAGCTGTTTGCAATAAACAAATCAAACAAAAGCAATTGAAACAGCTCAACATGATGAATGTCAATTGGTTTTCCCAAATTAATCTGAAAACACAACTTATAATGACTTGTCCAGTCTCAAAATGATTCAGCTCCTTGGACCGCTGTTCCTTCAACTTTAAACTTGCAAGCTATGCTTCCCATGGTATATCTAATAACATGATGTGCCTTCACTAACTTTTTGTTTCCTGTTCCTTGTTTGTGAAGGGCAATGATCTCTTCTCTTAAATTTGTGAATCATTCTTTTGACTTAGACATATTTCTAACACACAGTCAAATGTGACACTCAGCAAACTCTTAGCTAGTTCGGGTATTTCAAGTGTTCCAGCTAAAGTACACCTGGTGCAGTTAATGTAGCCCTTGTTTAGTTGCATCCGATGTTCTTGAGACAACACCTGTTTTGCATATCTGTGCTGTTGTGAAATGTTTTTTCAGAGGGTTGAATCATTTTTCATAGCTTATAGTTATTCATGGTATTTGGCATTTATGTGTCAGTATAATGATGTTACACTATTCTATATAACATTATTTAAGACTAATTATTGTTGCATATGATCATTGGTTGCTCCTTCTACATCATCTTAGTGTTCAGATCGCATTATAGATTTTCCAATATTATGGTGTATGGTATACACAGAAATGTTTTCAATTTAACCATACTCTTTTGTTTTCACCCGGCTGGCTTGTTATGTTTTTTTTTTGTTATATTCCTTATTTTGTCCCAAGTGTGGTTCCGTAGTTAGGGAGATGGCCCTGCCTGCTTTATTAACCTGAATGTGGATCAACTTTATCGATTCTGTTAGAGATTGGTAGCTTTATTCTCAACATGATTTTATGATATGGGCACATCAACTCAGCCAACGGCATGTTGCCATGGCAACGCACTGTGGCTCTGCTTGGATGCTCATTGAGCTGCTACCTAGTAACTTGGACTGGCCTCCTAGTCAGCCGTAAGGTGTATTGATATATTTTGATGAGCTAAGGGGAGGTATTACTGCCTTTTTGCATGCTTTGTGTGTATATAGTTGTGCTTAAATGTTTGCATATCCTGGCAGGAATTGTGAAATGCTGGCATTGATTTTGAAAATATGACTGATCATGCAAAAAAAAAAATATATATTTTTTGAAGGATAGGGATCATATGAAACCATTAATTATCACATAGTTGTTTTGCTCCTTTGTAAATCATAATGATAACAGAAATCACCCAAATGGCCGTGATCAAAAGTTTACATACACAGTGATATACACAGTTTAAAATGGCAATTAAAGGTTAATTTCCCACACCTGTGGCTTTTTAAATTGCAATTAGTGTTTGTGTATAAATAGTCAATGGGTTTGCTAGTTCTCACATGGATGCACTGAGCAGGCTAGATACTGAGCCATGGGGAGCAGAAAAGAACTGTCAAAAGACCTGCGTAACAAGATAATGGAACTTTATAAAGATGGAAACAGATATAAAAAGACATCTAAAGCCTTTAAAATGCCTATCAGTACTGTTCAATTACTTATTAAAAAGTGGAAAATTCAGGGATCTCTTGATACTAAGGTCAGAAAGATTTCAGCCACAACTGCCAGAAGAATTGCAAGAAAGAAAAACAACCATAAGCGCTATGTTTGGAGATGGGTCAACAAGCCCTAGACTGAAAAGAATACCATCCCCACTGTAAAGCATGGTGGTGGCTCACTGATATTTTAGGGGTGTGTGAAAATTGATGGCAAAATGAATGCAGCATGTTATCAGAAAATACTGGCAGACAATTTGTGTTCTTGCATGAAGGTTCCACATGGGATGCTCTTGTACTTTTTAGCATAACAATGACCCTAAGAACAAGGCCAAGTTGACCCTCCAGTGGTTACAGCAGGAAAGGGTGAAAGTTCTGGAGTGGCCATCACAGTCTACTGACCTTAATATCATCAAGTCACTCTGAGGAGATCTCAAGCATGCGGTTCATGCAAGAGGACCAAAGACTTTGCATGACCTGGATTCATTTTGCCAAGACGAATGGGCAGCTATGCCACCTGTAAGAATTAGGGGCCTTATATACAACTATTACAAAAGACTGCATGCTGTCATTGATGCTAAAGGTGGCAATTCACAGTATTAAGAACTAACGGTATGCAGACTTTTGAACAGGGGTCATTTCATTTTTTTCTTTGTTGCCATGTTTTGTTTTATGATTGCACCATTCTGTTATAACCTACAGTTGAATATAAATCCCATAAGAAATAAAAGAAATGTGTTTTGCCTGCTAACTCATGATGTTTTCTTTAAAAATGGTACATACATTGCCAATTCTCCAAGGGTAAACAAACTTTTGAGCACAACTATATATAAGCAGGATACAGGTGGATGCTATTTACACTTGGGACAAGCCCTTCATGCCGAAACGTTGGGATATTTTGGTGTACGCTGCTGATTCAGAAGGTAATAACAGTGTGGTGCAGTGATTTCTTTGATTTTTGGTTCTTGTATTTTCCTTTCTTGTATATAGTTATTTACTGGTGTAGATTATGCTTAGGATAACCATTGATTGTATATTTTACTTGTATATATATACAAATTACATTTTATTTTTTATTTTGATATATAATAAAGTTTATTTTTACTATAAAGGTGTGCCATTGATATTGTCTTATTTTTTAACTATACATTGATGTTATGGCAGACTTACGCAATATATGATCATATATTCTAACTAAACACATATTACACCTAGATTAGGTTTAACAAAAACAAACAAAAACCCTATTCAAATCTGTAAGTTTTGAAGTTGTTTAGTGAATGAGTGAGTGTGCTGCATCTTTTATGTAATACAGTTTGCCCCATTGTCCCTTATTTAGGCCTTGACTATATCAACCAGAATACTGATAAATATCAAATTGTTTTTTGCTAATATTTTTATTTCATTTTATTTAAGACCAGTCAAAATTCTAGCAGCAAAACCCAATGACACAAAATACTTCACTCAGTCCTCAGATCCAAATGTAAAAAAAAAAAGAAAGTATCTACAAATACATAAAGAGAAAAACAGACATAGGGCACTATTGTCTGTGTTGATAGTTGTGAGAAGTGACTGAAGAGTGTGTGATTTTGTAGTGGATGTAGTGTCTGTGTGCATAGTGAATGCAGAGTATGTTCAGTGAATGCAGCATTGTGTTTTATTAGTGGGTGTAGTGTGTGTTTAGTTAATGCAGAATGTGTGTTTGTGTAGTGGATGTAGTGTTTGTGTGTATAGTGACTGCAGAGTGTGTATAGTAAAATCAGTGTGTGTATAGTGACTGCAGAGAGTGTGCTTGTGTAAGGAAGTAATGTGTCTATAGTGAATGCAGATTGTGTGTTAATGTAGGCATGTAGTGTGTGTATAGTGAATGCAGTATATGTTAGTGTAGGCATGTAGTGTGAGTATAGTGAATGCAGAGTGTTTGTTTGTGTAGGGTTGTAGTGTGTGTATAGGGAATGCAGATTGTGTGTTTGTGTAAGGATGTAGTATGGTTGTAGTGAATGCAGAGTGTGTGTTTGTGTAAGGATGTAGTGTGTGTATAGTGAATGAAGAGTGTGTGTTTGTGTAACCATGTAGTATGTAAATGCTGTGTAAAATAGGGGGCTTCATTTTGAGGGGACGGGGAGCAAATTTTTTGTTTTGCATTACATTTATTTTAATTACATTTTATACCCCTCACCATGCATCTTACCTGTAGCCATGGAGGGAGCTTGCATTCCCTGATGGTCTGGTGACATGGTGTAGAGAGCCAGGAGTTGTATACTGGATAGGGGCCCAGCACACTCCAGTGTCTTCACTTTACAACAGCTACTCTCTCTGCTCTCTGCCTCTTTAACTCTTGCGAGCCTTTCCTTTGTGCCATGGAGTGTTGCATGGTAAGTAGTGACAACGCTTTGACAGCCAGAGTGAGAGGAGCTGCTCTAATGTGCTGGGCCTCTTCTGCAGTATACAGAAAACATAATTT